ATGATGATGATGATGATGATGATGATGATGATGATGATGATGATGATCATATATATATATATATAGATATATGATGTATTCATGTATAGTGTGCACTTTGCAGGTGGGTTTGTGGGGTGTGATGTTCGAACTGGCCCACCGAACTGCCCAGGTGGTGGGAAAGAACAAAAAGACTGGCGTCCCTGGGCATCGGGGGTGGGGCCGGGTTTGGGAGGTTCAATGGATCCACGAAGGTGACTTAGGTGATTGGAGACACTTTGCTGTAGGTTTTGAGGGTTCAAATGCCATCTGAGAAGATATTAGGATCCCTAAGGCTAGACAGTGTCAGGCAGCAAATTTTGATTATTCTGGTGTCAATAGGGTGAATTAAACCGATCAAGCCACTATCAAGGACGCGTCGGCGCGGGACTTAACTTAAAGCATGGCTGCTGTCCAAACCGACACGCGAAGGGTATTGCAAAATGATGGATGATGCAATGTTTGCAATTGCTGGGGCTCCGAATGCAAATCGCAGTGCCCAAATTTACGTAGACTGCTTTGGGACAAGCTTTAGAAGATGCAGGATGGTTAGTAAAAGATGATGAGAAGAAGGATGATGTGAGAAATGATAATGTTGATGGCGTTCTTTGTGGTTAGCTCTCTTCGTTGGCTGTCCACCCTTCAGCTGGAAGGGCGTTCTGCTTCTCCCGACGTTGTTACTCCACAACAGGAGCAGGCTCGCATGCGAGCCGCTGTTCTTCGACTACTATATATTTATATCACACTTATAATAGGGGAGGTTTGGTCACGCATTAGTGTTTCCAGCCATACGAAAGGTGCAGAGACCTTGTGACTGCGAGAAAGATGGTCCAATTACTGTCTGGGAATGCACTCATTACGCGCAAGTGTGCTTCAGCCGATCTTCTCCCCCCTTAATCGTACTTCGACAGCTTGTCCGTGTTTTCTCTATGCGACCATCATAGTGACCATCATCACTCAGAAAGAGTGCGATCTTGAATCTCACCTCACTTTGATCCAACAAACTATTGCTCAAATATGGCAATTGCACGTTAAGATAGCCTGGTTGTCCTTCTCCATCGCAACCCATCCACCCTCAAAGCGATTTTGCGTGAATAACGGCATTTGGTGGGCAAATTTTGGCCACTTGAGCCCTCCGTGGGGTGATGACGATTTGCGGAAGATGTGGCAGGGAATAGGCCAGCTGATGCCGGACTGCGGCCACCTGTCCAGGCTGCAAACGGTTGATGCAGAGACGACAAGGTCGAAACAATCCGCCATAAGGAGGGCCGCGCCATTTGCAGAGAAGCCAAAGTTTGAGTACGCCCTTCAGGTAGTGACCTGTGGTTTGAACAACCTCCGTCAAAGCTTATGCCAATGGACAGGAGAGAGGTTGCCTCCAACACACTTTGGCCATCGACTTTGTCAGTCTCTGCGTTCAGAGTACTGTTTAGCCGATTGCTTGACCAAACATTCAGCTGCTCCTGATGAACTGATTCATGCTGTAGCAGCAACTGGCTCATTGAGAAACGTTGATTGCCATCCTCCGTTCAGGACCATGATCAAGTCAAAGGCATTTTTGACACATTGGGTCATGAACAATTTGAAGAATGTGAATTGCTTTTTGTCCGTTTTTGCCGAGCCAATTAGGCATGTTCTGCGGTTCTCCATCTGCAGGACGCGGTTGGAAGGGAAGTTGTCGAGGAGCTTCAGCACTTGCAGATGCTCTTGAGGACGAGGGCCCTATGGAAGAAATCCAGTCGCCAGTCTCAGCCTCCACGTAGGCCTTTGTAGGAGACGGATGAGCCTCCATCCTGGGGCAGGAAGACCTTCATAGGCCCCATCCATGAGAGCTTCCACATAGACCTGTGTAGGAGACGGATGAGCCTCCACGTAGCCCTCCTGGGGCAGGTAGCCTTTCCACAAAGAGAAAAGCGCTCAGCGTATGAAAGACAGGAAGCTGAGCAGTGATGAGCAGCTGGATCTGATGACCTTGCTGCGCTGGGCAGGTGCAGTTGACAAACAGTCTCATTGCGTTACTGTCGACTTGCAGTGCATTGGCAGAGAGCGGACTGGTCCAGACAATCCCTTGCAGGATCACATTGGCACACACCCAGAGATACTCCACTGTATCAGCTAGTCTGAGGAGTGGAGGAAGCAACTGAGCGGTTTTACTTCAAAATGCAGATTTCGTGGCAGGTGCAGCACTTTGGACATGTCGGTGATCTTCGACGTGCTCTAATTTCGTGACAGGTGCAGTGAATCATGACTTTTCTACATGTGGCTCGTTTTCAGAAGTCGGGGGAGGTCTCGCGTGAAAGCTGCATTTTGGTATGTGTATGTTGTCTTTGGAAACGTTCTTGCGGCGACACGCCTTGTCAGGGCTGCCGCATGTAAATCTTGAAGTGGCGAACGCAGCACTTTGTGAACCTCAAAGTGCAGATTTCGTGGCAGGCGCAGCACTTTGTGAATTTGTGAACCTGGAAACGCAGATTTCGTTTCAGGCGCAGTGCTTTGTGCTCTCAGATGCTCACTCTCACTCTCACTCTCACTCTCACTACTCTCACTCTCACTCCCACGCACACTCACACTCACACATGCTCACGCTCACTCACCCTCACACTCACACTCACACTCACTCACTCACTCACTCACTCACTCACCCACTCACCCACTCACCCACTCACCCACTCACCCACTCACTCAAACGGACTCTGACTCTGATTCTCCCTCTCACTCTCTCACGCTCTCACTCACTCTGACTCACTCTCTCACTCTCTCACTCTCACCCCTCACTCTCACTCACACTCACTCTCATTCTCACTCTCACTCACACTCACACACGCTCACCCCCACGCTCACTCACACTCACATTCACACTCACACTCACACTCACTCTCACTTTCACTCACGCTCAGACTCACTCTCACTCACTCACCTGTACCACCATCACCATCACCACGATCTCCACCTTCATCACCTCTCTGGACCCCACTGCGTCTAGATCTCTAGACTTTTTGCTGCTACACCTCTATACCTCACACACAAGCTCTGTTTGGGGTCTCCGCAGGGTTAATGCCATCTCCAGGATTGAACCACGAGGGAAGAATTCCTGTCTCAAGTGTGGTGTTTCGGTGCCTTGCAAGCATAGTTACAATCTTGTTCGTCACGCCTGTAAACCCAAACCTTCAGGACGGTCTACCACTCCGCCTATTGGGTTTCCATGCGAGTGTGTGATGATTTTTTTGTGCGATTGGCCTTTCCCGGAAGAGACTGCGCTTGCAGCCCCAGACTATTCTGTTATATCATGTCACTACCGAGCACTTCTAATCCTCCGTTGTTGGTCGCCGAAGGCTTGTTGGCAAACAGCCTCATCAGAATGCAAGTAGCAATCATGCGTGTTCCAGTTTTTTTTTTTCGAGTTCAGCTGTTCCACATACCACAGGGAATTTTGCGCCAGCTTCGCCTCAGTTCCTGTAGCCTCTGAAGCGATTGCTTTGACAGGAACCTTTGTGCATTTGGACGGCATGGGTTGATAACCTTTTTGGACACCGGGTGGTGTCGCAGCGGCGCACTCATCCATGCCACCAACTATTAGAATCCTCAAGGTTTCATTGTTGAAAGGACTTTCAGTATTTTACCGCCTGTCGAACCACACGACCACAGTCAAACTGTCGTATGAATTTTCACGGATTGTACAACAGCAAGCGATATCTTCATACGGGTGTGTGTTTGCCATAGGGAGACCTCCCAGGCATGGGTGAAGGAGGTGTGTTGAGTAGGAGTCGAGCAGGAGTCTCAAACTCTTGGTTTTTGCAACATCCGCACCCATGCGAAGGAAAGGTGGCATCCTGTTGGGAAGTTGACACTAACGACACCGCCCCCCCCCCCAAGATTTCAGCGGGGTCGTTCCAACGACAGCAGGCCCCCAAGATCCCACACAGTCCCCCCCCGCTGGGGCGGCGCACACCAGCACCAGTCGCGGTAAGCGCAGAGCTGCTGAGGGACATGTTGAAAGATAGGTCTGTGGAGGAGGTGGGTGTGGCTGGAGGTCTAGGGGTCTAGGAGGGGTCTAGGGGTCCATGACAGGAACTTTGCTGGATCTTGGGAGTTGAAGAGCAGCGGAGGTAGCAAGACACCGCTTGTCTCTGAGGCAGAGGTTGCCATCAAGACTTTGCCACTGAACATGAACAAGGAACCTGGCTGTGGGGTCGGACATGGACCGGGATTATCGGGATCAGGACATTGGGTCAGCATGTATTGCCTTTGCTACTGGTACAGATCCTAGCCACCATCAATGACTGATGGTGGCAATCCGATTTTTGCATACCATAAAATATAATGAGATACTCACCGTAGGAAGCAACTATGTTGGAAGCACATTGGCTGAAGCGACTCTGTCAACATCCCGCACAGTTGCAAATCTCTTGGACTGAGCCTTGATGAAGCATCCTTCGGCCCTGGAAAGGCCCTCCATAGAGGTCTTTGCAGCAGGGGCGTGTACCCTCAAAGCTCTCGGTGTTGGTTTTGACCTGGATTGTTTGGGCAAGGAGTTTTCTTCGCACTCCACCATGCCAGGCAAACAAACTGTTTTCAACAAGTTCGTCCCTCCTGAATCCTGTCCGTGCCCGTTCTCCACTCCCAACCCGCCTCGGTGTGTCCGTTCTCCACCCTGCTTACCCGCGGCGCGCAGCGTCCGCGGCGCGCGGTGCGTCCGCGGCGCGCGCTAGCCGTCCGGCGTCAGCGGCGCTGACGCGGTGCCAGGAGCACATTAAGGCGGAGATCCAACACCAACTCGCCATGGATCATCCCAACATTTGCCGTCTCCTCGAGGCCGATTGGCCGGACAAAACGAACACCCAATGGTTTTGGGTGGGGTGGGGACGTCAGTCTTCATGTTTGGAGTGGGGGACTCGAAGGGACTGGGACTGACTTAAGGGGCATGTTATAGCACCATCCAAGAAATGATTTAAAAAAACCAGGAACTAACTAAAGAAATAAACACCATAATTTTTAGATTCTACAGCATAAAAGCTGGAGTCGAATCAACGATTCTGCTAAAGGCAATTTTGGCAAACACTCCAAACTGCAAAAGGACATCCGTGTTTTTGATAAAGGAGCCCAGCTTTTGTTCTTGCGATCTCTCAGCCGACCCCAGAATCTAGCGGTGTCGAGTCTCGAGGCCTATGAGGAGCCGACGCGCTTATTGCTTGTACCTTGCCTGGGGTGGCGGCGCCGAGATGAGGGACTCGTCAAGTTCATGTAGGTCTGTTTTGGGCTTGGATCTCTCCCAATCCAGCTACTTACATAGGAGGTAGATTTACCAACAGTTTTAGTGGGGATGGAATGAATATAAATCTGGAACTCGTGGCACATTTGTCGACTATAGAATTATAAACCAAGCGGCCCTCACAGTCCCTGCTCACATCCCCGTCCCAAGAGCTTTGTGTGAGGTCTTTGGATGGTCCAAAACCAGCTCGAACACCAGGTCTTTGGATGGTCCAAACCAGCTTGAACACCAGCTCTTTGTGCTTTGTGTGATGGTCCAAACCAGGTCTTTGGATGTGGTCCAGTTGAGTCACAGCAGCTTGTGCTGCTTCAGGCTTTCACGTTCGCTTCACCCTTAGGACCGCTTTTCCAAGCGCTGTAGGTGGTTGGCATGCACGTCCCGCGTTGCCCAAGAAGCACCAGGCCACCAGGTGATGGACTCCCTGGGTGGATCGATTCTGAACCAAACATGTGGACAGTGGATCGAGGTTCCAAGGATCTTCCACTTGACGTCCGGCTGCGCAGAGGATGACCAGAATAACAATGGGTGGTGATATATGGTGATATATATATATAGGGACCAGTTCATGCAGCAGGGGCCAGGGGGCCTCCCTATGAAGATACACACCCAGGTTTCACCTGACCCCAAAATCCAACTTTCAGGGCTTCTCGACCCCAGGGACTACACGCCAAGGGAAATTGAACACTGAACTGCCTTTTCTTCAGAGTACACGATATGATGGAACAAAGCCTCAACCTGAAGGGCAGTTTGAATGGGTTTGAGTCTGGGTGTAAATGGGTTTAAGATGGTTTAAGGATGTCTGCGGCTTTACGCTATTTGGACTTTTTGGCCAACTTCATCCTAAGGGGTGGACCTCGACTCTCGCCACTAGACCCACGCCTTTGCCGAGGTCATGGAAAAGCTCAATGGCCCTGACCTCTTCGACGCATTTTCCAAGAAGAGCCATGGTGAGAATTGAGTTGGTCACTGGCAGGTTGTGGAAGCCTGGACTGCCCTGGACATCCGACATCCACGGACGCTTCGAGCCTCTCGGGCCCTGGAAGGTTTCATCAGTACGTGTCTACACATCACCGTCCCAGAGGAGGGTGGTAGTGGATCCTTAGGGGATGGTCTTGGAATCTGACAGAAAACATGGTGTCCTTGACACTCAATCACCCAAACCACACGGAAGGCGTGGTTTCTCAGGCGGTGACCATGGTGACCTTGACTTCCAAGATCACATTTGCTTGTTGTTTGTGGAAACATGTGATGTTCTCGAAATCACATCGGAGTCTGTTTCTTTTGGGCTTTTGCCTAGTAAGGACCCAACCCTAACGTGGGGGAACACCGCCCGTCCACGTCGACATGCATCTACCCGGGTAGTACCAAGCACTCTCGGAGTCTTACCGTTTCTCTCCTCAGGAGGCGTTACACCGAAACGGATGCCGTCGACATCGTGCGACAAATCCTCAGCGCCGTCGCCTATTGCCATCGGAACGGCGTGTGCCACAGAGTGGCTTCGGCCGCGCTAGCGGATTGGGCGGGGGAAGGATCGGAAGGAATCCAGATGGATGGTGGTATGATATAACCCAGACACTCCATGGGACTGCCATAATATGTCTACATTGACCCCCAAAACCACCCCAATGTAGGTAAATATGCCATATAGAGTGTCTGGGTTATATAATTAGAATCCCTGGATGTTGCTAGTGGTGGTCACGAGAGAATGCTTATTCAGCGGAAGAAGGAAGATTGGAAGGAAGGAAGTGTTGGCTGGTGAAGTGAAGTGAAGGATTTCTTCAACACTTCTGATGATATTTTTTTGATTAGCGACAACTGCGATTGGTCAAACGGTGTATGTGCTGCAGAACATGTGGACTACCAAGACGAGTTTCCTGGAGCCCTGTCGGCTGTTAATCCGATTAAAGCTGCACCCCCAGGATGCAGCTTTATAAAATCCACTTGTTGAGTTTCTCTTAAATGAATCACCCTAACAATCCTTGGGCTCTCCATGGCAGGGGTCAGACCCTCCGTGGCAGGGGTCTGGGCCCTCAAAACCCTATGTATTTGAGGGCCCGGATTCTTAGGGCAATTCAGTCTTTACAGTATATTTCTCTAGCTCAGGCAGCTCAGAGCGGCGGTTCTTCGGGGCTTCTCCGTTAGGAGTCGGGGCCTGCTTCATGGCTGCATGCTTTTTACGCCCGAATCATGTCCTCATGTCATGCCGGAATTACTGTCAGCCAGGTCCGCCCACAGAATCCGCTCCCCCCACCGATCGCTCCTCAACGGATCGCTCCTCAACGGATCGCCCCGACAGATCGCCTTGGACCTTGAGATGATTTATAAGGACCTGAAGTTAGAGAACTTCTGCCTGGAGGATGACTCCGAGAATGCTCGCATCAAGCTGCTTGGTGAAGACTTGGAAAAGCTTAACAGCTTAAAAGGCAATTCAAAGAGAAACCGCATCCCAGCCTTCCACTGAAGAGGAGCAGGGCTTTCTATTAGGCGCTGGTTGGTTTACATTCCTCGGATTTGTGCTATTTAGTACAGCTCAAGGATCGAGATTCAATTTGATCCTAAACTTTAAACGTTGCTCCGAAGAACCCCCCAAGTGAGGATGGATCATGGAGAACGTAAGCGCGGGTCCTCTCTGAATCGAACCACGCCGTTAGAACGTCCGGGATTCGAGCGAACGTCGTGTCCTCCGAAGTAGGTCTATTAGCTAGTAGCGATGGCTTCCAACCTACAAGCGATGGAACTTTGTCCAGGTCTATTCATTGATTGAACTATATATTGAACTCATTAGATGAACTAGTCCCTAGAAGTCCAAAGATTCCCTTTCAGGACCCTATAAAGACATATTGTTCTAAATTATTATGTACAATATTCTTTCTATACCAGCACCTTCCAACAGGTCTCCTCTGGCGGCTTTTGGAGACTTAAATGTCGCAGGTGGTGATCTGTTGGAAGGTGCTGGTATATAGTCTTTGACTTCCAGGGTAGTGTTTTTTTTGGTATATTGCAAAAAACAACGAAAAAAGACACAGAAGAAATCCCAGGAGGTGCTTTGTTGCTACACCAAACAGCCGTTGTATTTTAAGCCGTGGATCGGAGACTCATCTCACCAAGTCTCACCAACTGGCCAGCCAGCGAAAGCATGGGTCACCAAAGCCTAACGACTGCCCTGCACACTCTCACCTTCAACGGCTACAGCAAGTCAGCTGGGAACTCAAGTCAGCGTTTTCTTTTTGTATTGTCTTGTGCTTCTAGGGCAGGTGTGGTGGACATATAATCATTCTTACCAGCCAGCTAGTCTGATGTCTCTTGGGCATGAGTGCATGTGCGCATGGTGAGATGCTGCAGCCTCAATGTCCATTGAAAGACGTGGCCCATGTGGTCTATTTCTTGCGGGCGGGGCTGTGTTGATCCTCGTAGATATGTTGATCCTCGTTCACCATCCACTTCATGTAGAATGTAGGAACGGAAAACACCTTGCATCCGAGATCTTGAGTTAGCGACCTTTGTGCAGTCCCTGAATGACCTTGCCCAAAAAGGTGGCATAACTGGAAGTTTGACTTAGATCACTTTGAAGCTTTGAATTCCCAATTCTTAGATCACTTTCTCGATCAACCACGTCTCAGCTCCCAACACCGTCGCCGCAACACCGGCCGAGTCCACCGAAGACCGCCGCAATACCGGCCGGCCGACAAACCGGGGCGCGCGCACGCTCGCGCACGCGTCTGCGCGTCTCTCCGAGGATGATCGATTTCGGCCTGGCGCACAGCATCGACGACTTCCCCATGACCGACTCCTGCGGCACCCTCTACTACGCGGCGCCCGAGGTACTCCGAGGCACCGGTGGATGGTGAAGAGCTGTGGACCGGTGGAACGCGAAGGTGAAGTGTTCCGAACTGGGTGAATCCCTCTTCTGAGGAGTATGATTCTGTATATGTTTTTGTAATATTTTGTATACTTCATTTTTTAAAATGAATTTTGTTAAATGTATATCCTGTCCTATCCTTTGTAAATCCAAGTGGTGAAGATGCCATGGGATGCCACAATTCAGTGACCCCAGGATGGTGACCTCGGATTGGGACTTAAGACACAGTCGTCGACCGTGCGAGGCTTGGTGTGTTTTTGGAGATATTTTGGTGCAGGTCAAGGTGGCTTTGGAATCCCTGGCAGATGTGGCTGTGGGTCAAAGCCCTGTAACCCTGGTCGACCACCAAAAATGAACCAATTCCTCTATGTTCAGGATGTCAACCCACCAGGATTTAGGGGCTGGTTTTGACCCACGGACATATTGACATCACAGGACCTCTATGGCGACCTTAGGATTGCACGATCTGAAAGCGTTTTGGCTCCACTGCTCACACCGGCAGCTCGCTCGCGGTGGGTCGTCGTGGTACTCGCTCGATGGTGCGTCAAAACCGCCTTTTGGTGGCGGCTCTCCTGTGCTGCGGCACCTTTGTCCTCTCGCAGCTCCTGGCCTTTGTGGGTGCGCCAACACCTTTGGAGCGCCGGACGTCCGTAGCACTCAGAGCACGAGGCGGCGGTGAGTATGACATCAGCGACATGGCAGGCAGTGTTTGTATTTTGTTTGGATGGGTCTAAGTCTAAGTCTGTAAGAAACTGTTTAAGTTTTTTGTTTGTCTTTACTTGAGATTCTTTGGTGAGTGGGCTTGTACATTTTTGGATGTGTCCAAGAAAAATCTTGGGAAATACTGGCTAAGGCATGCTCGTCCGGCCCCTGTTCCAAATAAGGCGATGCGGACATCACCAACTTCTACAATTCTCTGCTCACAGGTGGGCCTCAGAGCAGAACTAATAGCACAGCAAAGAGCTTCAAGGGACTCTCAGGCAACCAATGGAGAATAAAGGCTTGTCATATATTGCCCCAGTGTTTGCGGGTCACCTTTGGGTCACCTGAATCTCGCTTTCAATGGATTTGACCCGATACCTGAGCTTTCCACCCAGTCCACCCTGGCCGGGCAATGGGCCGGACAAGGTTCATCCCATGTGAACCACGGAAGTCTTTCTTCATCGCTACATTCCAAATGACCCGTCCGTGTTCAATGAATTAGTCCATCGCAGGTTTTTGGCGTTCAGAGAACCATTTATGTGTTTCTCCCAAGGTGACAATCGAGTTAAGTTATTGTGACAGCAATCGACACATTTCGGGCGGCGAGACGTGTAAATCTTTCCTGGACCTTTTGAACTTAACTAATTATGATCCTTTGCGCTTTTTTGTTGAAGGGAAGCACACCTTCACTTGAACAATGTCTCAAGTTGTTCCAGCATTTGCCAGACTTCCAGGTGTGTGATGTACATTCAGCCTAGGAAAACCCAAAATCCCCTCGTTCGTACCCTCCTCGTTGCATGGACGGCTTCAGATTGCCAACCCCAGCCTCGCAGGTGCTGGGGGTGATCCTCCCAAGGGCACCGTGCTCTCTGTCACTGGGATCTGGTGCACTCGCACTCTCTTGGCGAAACCGCGTTTGGCCCCAAGCTAATACAAACAATGACAGCTATATCAGGAATTGGCCCCCTTTTCAATTGGTTCCTGAGAGAGAAAGAGAGCGATGGTCCAAAGCGGCTTACCACACGGACTCTTTTTGCCTCCAAATATATACTTCTTTTTCCCCCTCCCTCTCTCCAACATCCATGAAGTGGACGGTTTTGGTTTGGCTTTATACAAGGTTGCTAGCCTAACAGCTCTTGGTAGCCTTTGGGAGCCCGCCCAAGATTCCGATTGGCGATGCATTGGGATCGTTATTGGGGCTTCCAAACGTTCCCCAAAGTCTTGATGTTCGGAATGTGTTTGGTAGGGAAGAGCACCCAGTGAAAAGGAAGAGTACCAAACGTAGCACATCTTCAGCATTCTGTGCACCTGTGTCATGCACGAAAGAGGTGGACACCTGAAATCTTTTGCAGTAGGTGCAGCATGGTGGAATCATTTGCTACCATAGCAGCCATAGCAAGAGACGCTTGATCAAGTTCGAGGTTTGAGCAATCATGAACAGGTCAAAGCCTTTTTTTTTCGGGCTCCTTCTTTCAAGCTGGTGCATGACGAATGCACGGAGTCCTCAAAGCACTCAAGAGAGTGACAGTGGCTAGTGGATCCCTGTCTCTCTTCTTCGAAACATTGGTGGAGTTCGCGGAACAAAACATCTGCAGTGGATCGAAATTCCACGAGCAGTAAGGAAACAGGAACGGTTTTGAAAAAGACTCTTGTTTTGGTCCTGGCCTAAAAACCACTGGACTTACCTACCATGGTTTGCCTCTCGACCACCTGTGACTCTCGGGATCCACCTGTCCGGGGTCTGGAACAGGCACCGCTTCCCACGACCGGTGGGACTGCCATGTATATGCAGCCCCATTGACACCGCAAGGATCCACCTGGGCCGTTTCGAGACACGGCCGTCGCACGACTTGGAATGGCCGTCACTTCCGCCATCTCTCGGCTGCGGCGCCTTCAGCCGCTGAGGAGCTCATCGTGAAGTTCTTTCACGGCGACTTCACCCCCCAGGGCTTCAAGCGCTACTCCGGGCTTTGGAAGGGCCCACCTCCCGGCAACATCGGCAAGAAGGAGCCCCGGCCGTCGTACGAAACCGGCGGCAAGTCGGGGGGCGGAAATCGACCGGTTTGTGCGCCGTGCGCAAGAGGCTTGACCTGGTTGGTTGGGTTTGTTCGAACTGACCTGTAGCAGTCAGTGAACCATTTTTACTATGTTTGAACAAGGCCTCTTTTACTAACCATCATCATCCACTGAGGCCCTGGTAATAGGATAGACCCAACCTATTGCACTAGGTGTCAGAACGCTGGCGAATTGGGGGAAAGCCGCAGGCTTTTCAGGTTTGGACTGCATGGCGCTTCACCAACTGCTGTGCTTGTGTTCCATGTTTTGTCGTGGATGTTCTTTGTTTTTTTTCCGCATGGCCTGCAGGAAAGCAACAAAGTAAAGAGAGGAACCACATCGACGGGGGTCCTTTCGATTGATACACATGACTAGTGCAGCACAGTGAGTTCTTAACCTTTGTGGGGGACACCGGAGGATGGGAAAACATCATCATACACCACAGGTCGAAAGAAGAAATCCTTTGACCCTTTGCCACTTCGTTTGGGTTGTTTTCAAGCAAATCAGGTCGATCAGGTAGACACACGAGATGGGACATCGCAGTTCTCGATGCAGGACATCGCAGTGGGCGTGGCAAAGTTGAAGGAACAAATGGCCAACCCCATGTTCGTCACCAAGGGTGGTGTGGGCTATGGCGCTTTGCCTGCAACGACAATTCATTGGCTGGAAGATGCAAAGGCGTCAGGCTTTGTGCAGGAGCACTTGAGGAAGTGGGTGTTGCCGTTTGAAGATCAGATTTTAATGGATTCCCTGCCCTTTGTGTATATATAGGCCATATTTCAGATTTATGAAGACAACATTAAATGAATCTGAAGATCTTCGAACCCTAAAGCCTAAAATTCTGGTTATTAAGCCCTGAGCCTGAGCTCCCCAATATATACATGTTCTTGTATGGATGCCGTAGGCAGGCGGTCGTTTCAGAACTATTGATCAATGTAGACTCGCGATTAACGACACCCCAACTTGGATGCGCTCACTTGCAGTTCATGGACGCTTCTACGTTACCCCTTGCTGTGTTTTACAGCGGGTGTAAGTAGAGTAAACCCCAACTTGGATTGTAAAGCCTCTTCGAATTCGTATATGTTTGTGTGTTTGTGTTTTAGTGAATCCAGAGTCTACATTAATGTGGGTGAATCAAATCCGACCTGGATGGTTCAAGATCTCCAGGGAGGGATTTGAAGGAGGTTCCCACATAGAGTACAAAGTACATCAAAGTACCATCCGTTTTCGGGCTTTTGCGCGGACTTCCAGTGCCAAATTCCTCGCAACGGTCCACGACCAAACAGCGGTCGTGTTGCTCGACCACTGAGGCGTGGATGAGACGCAGCAACTTCGTTGCAATTCTGTCGATATGTTAAAATGCCAGTGACTACCAGGCATGAATGAAAAGTGGAAAGTGGAACGTGCGTGTGCATGTGTGCGTGTGTGCGTGTGCGTGTGCATGTTGAAGTTGTTATATATAGCTGGGTGATGCTGGGTGAACATGTTAGACCATTTGGTGTGAGTCTCACGCGCAGTTTTGGCACAAACCATGCCATCCAGTGGTTGCTGGATGCGAGAACCTTGACGAGTTGCTGGGAGTGTGCTGTGTAAAAAAGACATTGGAAGTGAGTCCAAGACTCATACTTGCTCAAAGGACATCAGTGAAATCAAGTCCGGTCCACACATATTATGTGCAAATGTCACGACATCGTGGTCCATCCACTGATCCTTTAGTGCCCGAGCACCCCCCTAGGTGTGAGGAAATAGGCCGCCGTCCGCAGTTTTGCATGGCAGCCGGAGCCTGGTTCCTTTTTCTTCGTTGAGGTTCGGCCTGAGCCCCGAGGCACATGGCTGAACGTGGGATCCAACGGACCCACGATGGTGTGCCAAAGTTTGACGGCACACCGGAGTTGATGAGTCTGTATAGGGAGGAGGCAGTGCAATTCCTCATGACCTTCGAGCACAGGAAACGATACCTGGCTGGACCAAGGTTGTTGAAGGAATTGGAAGGCACCGCCAAGATGTCGGTGCGCACCATGACCCTGAGAGATCCGCAGTGGATCTCCCATCCTAGGGGGGTGTACACCCTTCTGGACCACCTGGACGCCACAATTGCCCGGCCAAGCCTTCCCGAAGCCTCTCGGTTCGTCATGCGCTTCTTCGACAACCTCCAGCGGAAGAAGCAAGAGACGATGACCAGCTGGATCACGAGGCACTCGGAGGCACTTTGGGA